GCCAAAAACAGAATAAGAGTAAACGAAGCATATAGTCAACCCTTTTAAATCACGACCCACGATTCTTTGAGGAACTTCAAAGAAGACGATATTGTCCACATCATTGACGATTTTGAACCACTCAGGAATATCATAAATTCCATTCAAATAAATTCCACCAAATCCGCAAGAAGTCCATCTCTGCACACCAGAAGCAAGACATTCTTATACATGCATGGATATATCATTATATATATGGGCCGCATCTGCAGCTGTGCCTTTGTGTTTGTGTGTGTGTGTGTGTGAGAGAGAGAGAGAGAGAGAGAGACCTGTAGGATTCTATTCCTAAAATCGGCAGTCAGATTGGTGCAGCCTTCCATATGAATCCTTGTCATGGAGTTTAATGACTTATCCAAGCCTGGAACCTCAGTGAGTTTGACCGAATCACGTAGATGCAATTCTCTCATATTGGACATTTTTGAAAAATCAGGAATTGTTTCCAATTCTGGGCAGTCATTTGCTTTCAGAACATACAAATTGGTTGGTAAATCTGGGATTGCAAGAAGTTTTCTGCATGCATTTAAACACAAGACCTTGAGCTTTGAAAGACCAACGAGACTTGGTAGGCTACGAAAGTCATTGCCTCCAAGAAGCAGATCTTCTAAGGAAATTAGGCTACATAGATCCTTAGGGATTGCATCCTCAGTTAACCAGCAGCCTGCATCCAAAGTTGAGATAACTCTATTAAAGAGTTTAAGGCATGTAACGAAAGGGGTAAAAGATGGAATTTCAAAATTCTCACCACATAGAGATAAAATTCTCAACTTCTTCAATTTTACTATGGAAGATGGAATTTGTCTGATGGCTGTCTTATCTGCTTCCAAAATTGTCAATGATACCATGTCCCCTAAGCCATCAACCAAGTTTTGAAATCTTAAACAACCATTCAGTATAAGAGTTTCAATAGACTTGGATTTATAGAAATTCAGTGGGAGATCCTTTAGCATGTAGCAGCCTTCAAGATTTACCAAAGAAAGTCTTCCAAGATCCCCGATGGTTGAGTGAACCTTACACAACCACGGACAACCTTTCAATATCAACTTCTCGAGATTTGGGAAATATGAAAAGTCTGGTGATTTTGTTATGTGATTATCACATTCGACATGAATGATGTCATCATCATTGACCAGATTTTGAGATGGGCGTCGTTCATACGCACAAAGATGGTAATCAATCATATTTTCGTTCATAAATTTGTCCCATACCAGACGAACACCTGTTTTCTTCACCTTCGCCCATTTGTCCACTATTATTTCAATCCAGACTTTATCACCGTCTTGCAATTTGAGCTCGTCATTTGATAACTGTCCCTGCCAAAGATGATAACCCCTAGTTCGACAATCGGGTATGATCCTGGCTTCAAGCTCAGTACCCTTGGTCATGTTTTTAATGCTAATACAATCAACACTGTGGAAGCCTAAAGAGCAAACGAAGGACAAAGTTAACCCTTTCAAATTACGACCAACACTTTGAGGCACAGTGAAATACACAATATCATCGTCATGGACATAGTCGAACCAATCAGGAATATCATTTCCACTAAGAAAAATGCCACCATATCCGCAAGAAGTCCATCCCTATACCATGTAGAGCCAAATTTCTATAAGAAATACATTCTTATGCATGCATGTGTACATATGCGTTGTATGAGACAATATTAAAAAGTAATACACACCTGTACCTTAAATAGTATACAAAAGTCTTGAATGATATAGAAAAGTCTAGAATTTTAATGAATGTGCAAACCGACTTAACAAAGTCGGTGAATACAAACAAGGGAGTTTCACTAAAACACCCAAATAGGGGTTGAAATTATAAAAAAACCTAAGCACTATTTAAACATATAAACACACCCAAAACCCATCATTACACACACTCAAAACCCATTATAAACACACCCAAAAAGTTGACTTTGGGATTGATTTTGGGTGTGTTTCTATATTTAAATAGTGCTTGAGTTTTTTTATAAATACATGTCTAGGATTGGGTTTATTTATAAATTTGTATACAAAAAATCTGAGAGATCAAAGTGTGCTATAATATAAAATATTCAAAGAGCTAATCTCACCGACTAGGCTACTGTCGGTTAAATCTCCTATATATAGGCTTGATGCCTATACGAAAATGTAAGCTGGAAAACTACAGCTGTCCAATTAATGCAATCATCAAACTCAAGTATTAAAGCCTTGTACCTTTCCTACCTCAATCATTAGAATAAAAACTACCTTGTTTCTCTGTCAAAAGTTTTCCGTTCCAAATTAAACTATTGTCTTAAACACTACCGACCATTCTCTAAACCTCTTCTCTCTTAAACTAACAGATAGAAAGAGAAAGATGTATGAGAGAGAGATAGAGAAGGATTGACCTGTAGGATGTTGTTCCTAAAATCGGCAGTGAGATTGGTGCAGCCTTCCATATGAATCCTTGTCATGGAGTTTAATGACTTATCCAAGCCTGGAACCTCAGTGAGTTTGACCGAATCACGTAGATGCAATTCTCTCATATTGGACATTTTTGAAAAATCTGGAATTGTTTCCAATTCTGGGCAGTCATTTGCTTTCAGAACATACAAATTGGTTGGTAAATCTGGGATTGCAAGAAGTTTTCTGCATGCATTTAAACACAAGACCTTGAGCTTTGAAAGACCAGCGAGACTTGGTAGGCTACGAAAAGTCATTGCCTCCAAGAAGCAGATCTTCTAAGGAAATTAGGCTACATAGATCCTTAGGGATTGCATCCTCAGTTAACCGCCAGCAGCCTGCAAGACATAATAACTCTATTAAAGAGTTTAAGGCATGTAACGAAAGGGGTAAAAGATGGAATTTCAAAATTCTCACCAGATAGAGATAAAATTCTCAACTTCTTCAATTTTACCATGGAAGATGGAATTTGTCTGATGGCTGTTTATCTGCTTCCAAAATTGTCAATGATACCATGTCCCCTAAGCCATCAGCCAAGTTCCCAAATCTCGAACAACCATTCAGTATAAGAGTTTCAATAGACTTGGAATTATATAAATTCAGTGGGAGATCCTCTAGGCTGTCACAGCCTTCAAGATTTACCAAAGAAAGTCTTCCAAGATCCCCGATGGATGAGTGAACCTTAATAAACTCCTTACAACCTTTCAATATCAACTTCTCAAGATTTGGGAATTTTAAAAAGTCCGGTGATTTTGTTATGTGATTATCATATTCGACTTGAATGATGTCATCATCATTGACCAGATTTTGAGATGGGCGTCGTTCATACGCACAAAGGTGGTAATCAATCATATTTTCGTTCATAAATTTGTCCCATACCAGACTAACACCTGTTTTCTTCACATTCACCCATTCGTCCACTATTATTTCAATCAAGACTTTGTCACCGTCTTGCAATTTGAGCACGTCATTTGATAACTGTCCCTGCCAAATGACGAGCTCAATTGACAATCCTCGTAGTTTCACAATTGGATATGATCCAGGCGTCAAGCTCAGTACCCTTGGTCATGTTTTTAATGCTAATATGATGACTGTATAAGTCTGAAGAGCAAACGAAGGACAAAGTTAACCCTTTCAAATTACGACCAACACTTTGAGGCACAGTGAAATACACAACATCGTCGTCATGGACATAGTGGAACCAATCAGGAATATCATTTCCACTGAGAAAAATGCCACCATATCCGCAAGAAGTCCATCCCTATACCATGTAGAGCCAAATTTCTATAAGAAATACATTCTTATGCATGCATGTGTACATGTGCGTTGTATGAGACAATATTAAAAAGTAATGCACAATTGTACCTTAAATAGTATACAAAAGTCTTGAATGATATAGAAAAGTCTAGAATTTTAATGAATGTGCAAACCGACTTAACAAAGTCGGTGAATAAAAAAAATCTGAGAGATCAAAGTGTGCTATAATATAAAATATTCAAAGAGCTAATCTCACCGACTAAGCTACTGTCGGTTAAGTCTCCTATATATAGGCTTGATGCCTATACAAAAATGTAAGCTGGAAAACTACAGCTGTCCAATTAATGCAATCATCAAACTCAAGTATTAAAGCCTTCAACCTTTCCATTCCAAATTAAGCTATTGTCTTAAACACTACCAACCATTCTCTAAACCTCTTTTCTCTTAAACTAACAGATAGAAAGAGAAAGATGTATGAGAGAGAGATAGAGAAGGACTGACCCGGAGGATGTTCTTCCTAAAATCGGCAGTGAGATTAGTGCACTTTTCCATATGAATCCTTGTCATGGAGTTTAATGACTTATCCAGGCCTGGAATTTCAGTGAGTTTGCCCGAATCACTTAGATACAATTCTCTTATATTTGACATTTCTGAAAAATCTGGCATTTTTTCCAATGCAATGCAGCCACCTGCTCGTAAGACTATCAAATTTGTTGGTAAATCTGGGATTGCACGAAGATTTTTGCACTGATCTAAAGACAAATCTTGAAGCTGTGAAAGACGACTGAGGCTTGGTAGGCTGCAAAAGTCATTGCGTGCAAGATCTAACCTTTCTAAGGAAATTAGGCTACCGAGATCCTTGGGGAATGCATCATCAGTTAAACTGCAGTCTGCAAGAGCTAATTCTCTTAAAGAGCTTAAACTTTGCAATGAAGGAGGCAAAAGATTTGTTGATGGCAACCCTTTCACATCGCATAAAGATAAAACTTTCAGTTTCTTCAATTTTAATATGGAAGATGGAATTTGTCTGATGGCTGTGTAATCCGCTTTCAGAGTTGTCAATGATACCATGTCCCCTAAGCCCATCAACCAACTTTTCCAAAACGTGAACACCGAATAAGTAGAAGAGTTTCAATAGACTTGGATTTATAGAAATTCAGTGGGAGATCCTCTAGTGCTCTGCAGCCTTTAAGATTTACCAAAGAAAGTCTTCCAAGATCCCCGATGGATGAGTGAACCTCAGACAAACTCTCACAGTATTCCAATATCAATTCCTCGAGATTTGGGAGTTTTGAAAAGTCTGGTGATTTTGTTAGCCGAAGGGAACCACTGAGATTAAGGATTTTCAAATTCTGATGCAACTGTTACACAAAAACAAAATTAGAATGGAAATTAAAATCCAAAAGGAAGGTCTCTGATACAGAAATTAAACCAAAATGAAGAGAAGGTGAAGTATAATATATGTATAGAACCAGAAGGAAAGAACCAACAACAACTAGGTTGAGATTATTATACCTTGCAATCCTTCCAAACTATTTTGAGTTTGCTATCCTGCAGGTCTAAAGCAACTAGTTTTGGTTGCACAGGAAAGTCATCTGGTATGGACTCTAAAGGAAAATAATGCCAGCACAACCATATTAACTTTTTGGGAAAATCTTTGTACTCTCCAGTGAGCTCTACTCCGCTGAGGTGGAGTAACCTCAGTTTTTTCATCTTGGTAAATGCTTGTGCACTGAATCTAGTCAAATCTAGATCCAAATCCAAATGTAGAGCAACTCCTTCAATTTTTTTAGTTCCCTGTTAACAAAAGATACCGAGTTAGAAAAATGATTTACAAACATGAAAATCCGTGTATGTATTAACCAAAAGGTATAATTAATAGTATTGGACCATGTTACGCCCTATAGTTTGTGTTTGCAATCAAAGCACATATTTTTTGTTGGTTATGCCTAATTGAGCTTTGATCAACGGGGTCTAGTGAAGTGAAAAATGATCTAAACTTGTAGACTAAAGTCTCAGGTTCAAATTCATATGACACCTTGGTAGTGTGGATGTGTGAGAACTCCCTCTTTTATTTTGATTTAGCGCTTGTACTAAACAAAAAAATAAAGAAATGGAAAAGGACATTTTAATTTATTATGGACACGGGATACATATGCTTCTCTTGCATGATGCATTGGGAAAGTACTTACAGATTCATCGCTCAGTACATCTGTTACGACTTCACGTTTCCACAATCTACTAAATTTTTCTGGGTGACCATGGGCATTTTCATAAACGATCTCTCTTCCCATGTCTCGAAGCAAATCATGCATCATCAGGTGGTTATACTCACTAACAGTTACAAGGCACCGTTCAATGAGGACACTGATTCCTATTGTTGCAAAAAAGCCACATCCATCTAATATTTGTGTTACATAGTCCCTGTCCATTCCTATAAAGAAACAAGATATATCAAGGAATATCTCTCTCTTTTCCCGATCAGGTAGCCCGTCAAAGCTTATTCTGAGTACTTCTTGAATTTCTCCATCAGGAGGTCTTCTTTCCAATTGCTTCAAATGGCTTTTCCACTCCGCTATGGGTCTTTCAATCAGAAAAGACCCTACAACTCGAAGTGCTAGTGGCAAGCCTTGACAGTAACGAATTACACGTTTTGAGAGGTCAAGGTATTCTTGATCAGGATAATCTCTTTTGAAGGCATGCCTACTAAAGAGCACTAGAGCTTCTTCCTCATCCATTTCTTGAGCCATATATGTGCTATCCACTTCACCTTGCTTTAGCAAATGTTTATTTCTTGTTGTAATGACAATTCTACTTCCAGGACCAAACCAATCACGAGCTCCAGCTATTGCTTTTAGTTGCTGTAGATCATCTGCATCGTCAATTATGACAAGTGCTCTTTTACAGCAAAGTCTTTCTTGTATCACAGTGATCCCTTCATCAACAGAACCAACCATTATGCCCTCGCTTTTCAAGATATCATTCAGAAGTTGTTTTTGCAAACCAACCAGACCATTACTGCGTTGGACTTCCCTCACGTTTGCAAGGAAACTCCCACCTTCAAAGCTACCTACAAATTTGTTATAAATGGCTTTGGCAAGCGTTGTTTTTCCAATGCCGCCCATCCCCAAAATACCAATCATGCGAACTACATCCTTAGAACCTGAATTTTTGATATCCAAGTGATTACTCAAAACCTCCATCCGAGAAGTAATTCCAACAAGGTGTTCGATGTATAATTGGTGTTTTCTGTTCACCAAGTTATTAACCACCCCAAGAATTTTCTCGATAAACTTTGCTTCATGCCTGGCAATTAAACACAGAAGCAGAACAAACTACAAGGTTAAATTGAATCCCTAACTTAATAATTTAGAATTAAGATATAATTAACAATTAAGATTGGGATTTAACATCAAATGATAAATGGATCTTACATTATCAAACCAAACCAAACCAAACAAACAAACACCAAAGTTCAAAGTAAAAAAGAAAACATAGTTGGAAAAACAAAAACAAAAACAAAAAGGACAGAAAACATATGGTTGTCAAGTAAGGAGATGATAATCCAAGGAACAAGATATTAGTAATTACCCATTGTCAGCATTTTTAAGATCTTCCCCACACAAATCTGCTGCTTGACTGAGAGCATTCCTCCATCGCTGTACCTTTTCTTTCTCATGTTTGCCCGCTTCATGTTTCTCAAAAGCTTCTGCAAAACTACCAGTCTGTTTCCGGACATCTGAAGCCTCAACATTATAGAACAATGGAATTACCTGTTGCCCCA